GAAATTGGGGCCGGTTGGGGGGTGGGGGGGGGGGGACAGCTATTTCGTCGCGAGGCCGATTACAATCCGATTATTATGCCTGCATAATGTCCCACTGTCCCTCACTCGACCCCTCCTACGTGTAAGCACGTACTCACCTGCGCGTAATACGATCGACGAGAGCGGTGCGAGCGGAATTTCTAAACGAATGCAATTTAAGAAGGAGCAATAAAGCAGAAACTGGCTACCGGGAGTGGAGCCCCCCTCCCTCCCCCCTCCCGGCCCTCCTCTCCACCCTTTATCCGCCGCCGTTGCTACGCTCGATCCTTAAAATTGAAAATTAAACGTTTCGCAGCGTACAAGTGAATTTTTAAAGGCGGCATGTCTAACCCGTGCCTTCACGCTTTTTCTGTTTCAGGATCCGACTTCCGTGAGTATAGGTCATTAAGTTACCGCCAAATGCTACAAAGTAATGGGTTCGGCCCCGAGAAAATCGTGCCCCGACCCCGCCGGCAATTAATAATTGCGGAGCGCCGGGGTTTCTTCGCGTAAGCGCACGAGAAGCTGCTGGTCGACGAGAAGTTTCGCGCGTATCAACATGCATGTAGTTTACATTGCTAATCGCTGAAAAAGTCTCGCGAAAGGCGAGACGAAAAATCCCGTAGTAATAATTCGTAACGCGAAACTTCTCCGGCCGATTATTAACGCACGCATTTCTGTTACATGGTACGGATCGACGTCTAATCTTCGTGGATATCGCTGCGAATCGTTTACACAGGGCGTAAGTATCTTTAATTTTTTTCTTTAAAAAAATTATCTGCTATTTTCGCGCAAGCACGTTGCATTTACCAAGCTATTGATCTATATTACAATCAATGATTATTATTTTAATTTTTTATTACCCACAATAATGAGTAAGAAACAGTCAAGAGTAATATTTAATGAATTGAAGTAATAGCAGCATTCGCAGCACGAAATGCAAAATACATACTAACTTTACAAATTATTGGAGAACTTCATTATCTGTTCGTATCTTGCATCATTGGTTGTGATAAGATTTTCTTTGCCTTTACGCGAATTATTTTATTCTTTGGGTAGATTGCGGATAATATATATACATTCTCGTCAGCGTGATAATTAATAGGAGAATCTATAAATATCATTAATTGTCAAAAGACTGATACCGTGATTTTGGATCCATCAACGATACTGTAATGTCGCTTCATCTCGGTCGATCATCGCGTGGCGGCAACGCGCTCATTTTAAAACGAGGAGGGGGGGGGGCGTGGGGAGTGGAGGGCCTGGGCCCGAATACGAAACGACGGAATGCATAACTGACGTCTCTATAGTATTAAAACTGCGACCGTGGCGCTTCGGCGTCCCGACGGGGGTCCTCAGACGTCGTCGGAGACATTGAGCGCCGCGGGCGGCCATTGTCTCAGAGGGGTCCCAAGGGCGAGCTACAACGAAGGGCTCGACCCCGGCTTGACACGCACGGGGGGAGGTCGTAGCACCCCGTCGCGGGCCCTCACGAAATTAATAATCGAAATTCGAGTATCCCTACGCGGACCAGAAGTTATCGCGCGACCGGTATATCCACCTGAGCCCGCTCCTTCGCGGGGGGAGAATCCACGACGGGCCCCGCGACGCGGCGATCCCGAATGTCGCACGCCCACGCGATGAAAACGAATGCCGATCAAGTGAATTATAATAAGACGGGCGAAGTTTACGAGTATTATTTGTCGTTGGAATACTTTGAAGGCGAATGAACAGAGATTTTTCAAGCGGATAAAAGACTGTCGTCAACTTGTATTTTAATCGCATTGTTGCATATATCTTGATTTAGGGGATATGAACTCTCTTAAATAAAATCAGTGTATCATCACTGATAAATAATAGTTTCAGTTATAAGTATATAGCAAACGGTGAAATATTTCATTGAAAGGATCTGTTGGTAATAGTGGCTGTTTTAATCAATGATATTTTAAAATGAATCCTATAATATTGTATTATGAGATAAATTATAATAGGAATATATTTTGTTAAAGAAATATCTGAATTTGAGCAAGAATTTTATTTACTTTCTATGAGTTTATTATTTTAAGAGTAAAGAAGTATAATATATGTATATAACTCTGAGACAGAATTTGAATATTATACAAAAGTTATACAAAATCTTATCCTCATAATCAGTGAAATAAGATAAAAAAGGAAAGCGCGTGAATCTTTTCATTAAAAATCATAAAAATATTTATTAATTTTGATTGGTGAAATCTTTAATCAGTAATATTTTCACCGATTTAATTTAAGGGAGAATTAATAATAATGGAAATAGAAATGTAATAGAAATGTTTGAATATCTTACTGTTGAGAAAAAAAACATTATTGAAATTTATTAAGGGATTTTTGATAAAATCTAATTGACGATTATCCACGGAAATAAACCGAAAGGGAGCCAGATATCGTTTGCCTCGCATCCTCGGCGTCTCAAATATCCCCGCATCGGCTTTTTCGCCGTTTCGTAGACATATCACGAGCTCCAATGCTATAAGCGTGCAATTAAAAGCATGCAGCGGGGACATTTATGTTGGCACTAACTGCCCGTTAAGACGGGGAACCACCTAACCGTGTAAGGTGTAATTGGCCGACATGCTGAACCTGCAGCTCGTAAAAGCGCAGCGGGCGTGCCATCCGCAGTTTTTCCGGCGCGACGTTTACAAATCGCGTTTTTATTGAATTCAACACACTGTCTAACGTCGATTTTTAATTTTGCCGGCCGCGGTTTTTTCGATGAGTCGTCGTTTTCGGAGATAACATACTGTACGGTACTCAACGCGATGCGATCGTCGCTTAGAAAATGCAGTTTGAACGCGAGAGAACTTTCATTTTGAGGTAATTAAAAAATAACTGTTTCTCTCGTTAATTACGTGGCCGGCCGGGAAATGGAAAACTAATCGTAAACAAATTTACAAGTATATACCGGTACCCGTTGGTCGGCCGATCCTCTTAACGTTCTCATCAAACGCATAATAGGCTGCGTGGTTAGATAAGCCTGGAGTTAAGAACGTCTCGACGTAAAAAAATGTGTTGTTATTACTGCGGTTATTAATACAGATCCACTGGCAGATAGTGTAATTGAGCTACAACAGTATTCAGCAAGTATAATTTTAATTGCGATAAACCATCATTACGGCAGCCTTGTTTTGAATGCGTCTACGAGAGCCAAAGCATGTAATGAAACAAGAGAGAGAGAGAAAGAAGAGAAATGAGAATGGGGGGGGGGGGGGAGAGAAAGATTTGAACCTAATACTCGTCGCGTCGAGATGAGGGGGCTCGAATTATTTGAATCGGACCGATACAAAAAAGAGGGTGCAAGAAAGAATCTCGGGATTCTTGGTCGCGCGATTATATTACAACCCGAGATATATATTGTTTTATTATAGTCGCGGAGCGTTTATCGCGTTGTAAAAAAGTTGTTTATTTTGCTATAAAAATGTTACACGTTGGCGGTTTTTACGATCGCATGATACAACGCCGGACGTAACAATGTTGATTAGCATAGATCTAACATAGAGATAGCGTAATTGCGCTACAATGTAATCGGCCGGTCGGTCGTAATATGAAATATACGGGGTGCCCTATACGCGCGAAGAGGAGGCAAACAGCTCTTGCATTTTATTATTAATACGCACGCCGCTTGTTACGCTACCATCCTTTCGTATACGAAGATACGCATTCCTTACGATTCATATCTCTCTCTCTCTTTTTCTCTCTCTCTCTCACTCTCTCGCGGCTTCGATTAAAATGCCAGACGTCGGTAGGCAAAGAGAGATTCGCCGTGATACGCGATATTGTTACGCGTGTACACGTTGTAACTGTCCGGATCCGTGACGGAGTCACGCGATATGCATTATGCACGCACGTAACGCCGCGCGGCAGACGTTTCCGCCATCGGTCCCACGATGCACCGGCTCGGTGACGGCTCTCTCGCTCGTTTTGTGAGAAACGAGTCATTGACGCGCGCCGCCTTTATATTTTCGCGTTCGGTACGCGGAAAAGATACGCCTTGTCTCCGTCTCTCTCTTTCTCTCGTCTCGGTTTTATGCATTATTAATACCACCGGGGGAAAATCCTGGGTTAAATGGCGCGAACACAATGATGCGCGTTAATTACACACACGGCCGCGTCATTATTTTCGACCGGCAGTGCCAATTTAACGCGCGCGCATCTTACATAAACGCAATTACTATTTATCGCGAGACTGTTACATTCGCGCGATGTGCGATTGTAACGCGTATCGAAGCTACTATCTTCGCTCGCGCGACGAAGACGCATCACTCTCCGCGTATGACGTAACGAACGTACGCAGCGTGTTTCACGAGACGCCGTCCGTCAGCTGGAAAAAATAAATACAGATAGATTTGACAATTTTGAATTTGACGTGAAAAAATTAGCCAACTTTTACAACATCAATTTTGAATAATCAACGAACAGGGAAATCTGCTTCGGAAATATTCCGCAGAGAAAATGTCTCGGTGATTATTCGGAGTCAAGCTTTTTTTCTCGGCTACGTCGTTGTTCGCGAGTGATGAAAACTAATCGTGAGACGAATCTTTGGCTTTCCCTCTCGCGACGAGTTCAACATTTTCCCTTTTTTTTTCTCTTTCCGGCATTATCCGCAAGAAAAGAGAGGAGGAATCGGGAGAGCGACTTTCACCGCGCGTCTCGTCAACCATCTGTCGCCGACCGGACGAGCGCGAAAAAATATCGCGGTGTCGCGATCCGCGATGCGACATCGTGGACATCCGATCGCGCTATGCGGTGGCTCATTTACTACAGCCCCATTACCCCTACGCGACGCGCCATTATTTTTATTAGCATAATGACAGGCGAACAACTCAATTTGCATGGAAAATCACACGGATCCCGTAACGAACCTCGCCCGCGGATCCGACGATGATCGTCATTCTATCGATATATACCAACCGAATATGCCGCTATATATATATATATATATATATATGTGTGTGTGCATGTGTGTGTGTGTGTGTGTGTGTGTGTATATATTATATATGCGATACGCGAAAAATATTGTAGGGGGGTGACGTACGGAGAGGAGAGGTCTACTAGTTCGAGTCCGTGGCGAATACCACTCTTCGAGATACCGCGCTCTTTCTCTCTCTCTCTCTCTCTCTCTCTTTCTCTCTTCGCGCTGGATAATTCCGTATCATCATCGAAATTGCCGTCGATCGTCGTCGTTCTTCTCGTCCGCGGCTCGATCGAGAGGATCGTTTGCCACCGCACCTGATCCAATCGTCCATTCGATAATTGGCGCCCGGTAATGAGACGCAGGATTACCTGCGTCAGATTGTTCGGGCAAATTTTTGCGGTAAAAAGAAAAAGGGCAAGAGAGTTGGCGCCGTTACTTTTAAGGAAAATAAAAAGACGAGCGATATACATATATACGTACGCGCAGAGTCTGAAGTCATTTTGGACGAAACGGTTTGCGAAATGTGCTTGTACCCCTCGATTCCTCGTGCGAACTCGCGCGAAGTACAGCTGTCTAGAAATGAAGATAAATGCGAAATGATGTCCGGGGCGTGTCACGATTATCGCGCGATTATTTATCGATCGTTGCTCCAAGTCGGACGGATACAAATTCGACAAAGTTCTCGGTACCTCAATAAGGAAGCGCAGGCTTATCGATGCATTAAATTTCACATACGCTTCTTGAGATTGCATCTTAACGGCGAAAAAGTGCGTCCCGTTTTACATTTTTTTTTTTTTACAACAAATATTACGATATTGATTATAAGATATTATGGAGATCAAGCTGCTAGCTGTATAATAAATATTTTGTTTGCTTTTACTTTAATGGAATATTTTAATAGAATTTTTCCATCAAAATTCATCGGCTTCAATTACACGCTACAAATTGAAGCATTCCATTTCAGAAATCAAAGAAAAATATCCGATGCTTGTGAAAAATACAGAGACAAAATATTTCTCTCCTTGTAACGAACGATGAAATTTGTATATCTCTATAGACTGTAGCTATTATTCCGATCTCCCTTGGTCCCCGTGATTGACAAGTTGTAGAGATTATTTAGAGTGCATCCTAACTTTACGCATCGATCGTTAGCTAGATCATCGTCTCCACGACGACGCGAGCGATGACCGAACCCGATGGCCTCCTTTTTTAGCGCCGCGATCGGGCGAAATATTATGTAAATAGAGTGCGTTAAAACGCGCGCGATCTAGAGCCTGCCTCTCCGTTTACTCCGAAGATACCGGATGGATATAAAAGGAGCATAAAGTAATATTTAGCGCGCGCGCTTAAACGAAATTGCTGTAATCCCCGGCCAAGGCGGGTAAAAGCGCCGCGCGCGGGGAGGAGAGGAAAAGAGAATCGCCGACGGGGTGCAGAGACGGGACGCGGAGGGAAGGAGAGAGCGAGAGGGCATTAACATACCGATTTACATAATGCGTATAATTCGAGCAATTATGAAGGGAAATATACACAATTTGATATAATGGCGGATGTTTAGGGCCAGCGCTATATCTACCGCCGGAGATCTCTCCGGTGTACGACTAGAGAGAGAGAGAGAGAGAGAGAAGGGACCCCCCTCTCGCATTGTTATGTATATGTAAGGGCTGGGACGGGGGGAGGCATTCGCGAGAAAGGAAGACGAGATAGTTTTACGCGGGTTACGCAGGTGCGTATCGCGCGTACGTAAGCGAACCATCTCGCGATTTAAGCGCGATTTAAAAACGCCGTACATCTCTAATCCCGAATCGTCATGTCTTATCTTTTAGTGTTGTACGAAATGCACCGAGGACACTCTTGTGAGAGACCCCGATCCTCGGACAGGCAGGAAGCGAGATAATGCAACAGGACGACATTTCAAAATTACAGAGCGCGTTTCAATGATAAAAGGGTGGTGCGGTAGATGCGTTATCTACCGCAAGATATTTACATGCCACATCTAACATCGTTATCCAGCGCTATAATCACTCGCGCGAATTCGACTTTGAGTAATAGCGTTGTAAATGCATGTTCCCCGCTTTGCCGTTCTCGCTATATCTTATTTTTACGAAATAACGTGATTTTTTGTCATCTCTTTTTACGGTAAAATTTAAATTATTTGTATTGAAGATATAATTGAAAAATTTCTCAGAGTTTTATAACTGTAGATCTTGAAAAGATAATATTTATTCAGTTCTGTCACTGTAACTGATGTAATTGATGCAAGAAATTGATGTTTCGCGATGTGTGCTCGGCAAATGAAAAACAGTGTGCATCGTAAAAATATTCTATAAAGTTTGTTCGATGAATATCGCTATTCTTTAAGCCTCGAAAAGAGACTTAAAATGTTAATTCCTAATGACGGAGCATCTTCACGCCTACCTTTTACTAGGCAGACATTGATTGATACAACCGGCATTTCTAACAGATTTTAATTTATGTTTTTACACGATGAACATGAATTTTTCCCAGGTGGTTGGCACGATTTCTCATTCGAGCTGTCAGATGGTAATGAGAGAGAGAGAGAGAGAGAGAGAAGGGACCCCCCTCTCGCATTGTTATGTATATGTAAGGGCTGGGACGGGGGGAGGCATTCGCGAGAAAGGAAGACGAGATAGTTTTACGCGGGTTACGCAGGTGCGTATCGCGCGTACGTAAGCGAACCATCTCGCGATTTAAGCGCGATTTAAAAACGCCGTACATCTCTAATCCCGAATCGTCATGTCTTATCTTTTAGTGTTGTACGAAATGCACCGAGGACACTCTTGTGAGAGACCCCGATCCTCGGACAGGCAGGAAGCGAGATAATGCAACAGGACGACATTTCAAAATTACAGAGCGCGTTTCAATGATAAAAGGGTGGTGCGGTAGATGCGTTATCTACCGCAAGATATTTACATGCCACATCTAACATCGTTATCCAGCGCTATAATCACTCGCGCGAATTCGACTTTGAGTAATAGCGTTGTAAATGCATGTTCCCCGCTTTGCCGTTCTCGCTATATCTTATTTTTACGAAATAACGTGATTTTTTGTCATCTCTTTTTACGGTAAAATTTAAATTATTTATATTGAGGATATAATTAAAGAATTTCTCAGAGTTTTATAACTGTAGATCTTGAAAAGATAATATTTATTCAGTTCTGTCACTGTAACTGATGTAATTGATGCAAGAAATTGATGTTTCGCGATGTGTGCTCGGCAAATGAAAAACAGTGTGCATCGTAAAAATATTCTATAAAGTTTGTTCGATGAATATCGCTATTCTTTAAGCCTCGAAAAGAGACTTAAAATGTTAATTCCTAATGACGGAGCATCTTCACGCCTACCTTTTACTAGGCAGACATTGATTGATACAACCGGCATTTCTAACAGATTTTAATTTATGTTTTTACACGATGAACATGAATTTTTCCCAGGTGGTTGGCACGATTTCTCATTCGAGCTGTCAGATGGTAATGTTGTAATTATGATGAAAATATTACGCGAGCTAGACATAAGTCTTGATATAAAGTTTGTTCGATGAATATCGCTATTCTTTAAGCCTCGAAAAGAGACTTAAAATGTTAATTCCTAATGACGGAGCATCTTCACGCCTACCTTTTACTAGGCAGACATTGATTGATACAACCGGCATTTCTAACAGATTTTAATTTATGTTTTTACACGACGAACATGAATTTTCCCCCAGGTGGTTGGCACGATTTCTCATTCGAGCTGTAAGATGGTAATGTTGTAATTATGATGAAAATATTACGCGAGCTAGACATAAGTCTTGATGAATAAAAATGTAAGCGATAAAGTAACGCGCTCAAAGTGTAGTTACTTTTTAATGACGTGTATAACGATTTACGCGTAAACTTCCGAGCGTGCTATACGTAATCTGCCCCTCCTTCTCTCGTATTTAACTAAACATACATCTATAAAATATATAAAATATTTCCTTTGCTATGTACATTTTTAGCGCTCTAAATTAATTTCATGATCATATATTTCCTACATCTTTACTTTTTATTTATCTCGACCACATAAAAATTGCAGATCGATGTGCAATGCAAGAGATGGAAATATCGAAATTACATTCGAGCCCACACACAATCATCATATATTACTTGTAGATTTTCCAATTCTATTCGGCAACAACTTTTCACCCGCAAAAATATTCCATTATCACTGATATTCTATCAGTTGTTATCGGATCGCTCGCAATATTGCAATAACGACGAGCGAGAAGTGGAATAGAGATATTTTTACAATTCCGGTGAAATGTATTCCCCGAAAAGAGATAACGGCCCGAAGGGGAGAGGACGGGGGAAAGGGTGACTAACGAGACAGGCCGCGTTTATCAGTCGTATAGTGCACGGCGGATGTACGCGGTCTCATTCCAATTAGCGTTACAGGCTGAGCTAATTGCTCGATATAAATCGCCGTGACTTGAAAAAGTTTGAATAATTAGACGGGGAACGGTTGCGCTTGGCGGGGCTTTATTACACGCGCGTTCGAATATTTAGCGCAATTCGCGACTCGTTGCATCACTCCTCCAGATCATAAAGAGATGAATAATTCGTCTCGCTTTTTATTATGCGCATATTCGAAAGCGACTCGCTATCCGCTAACAAGGCCGATTAGTGCTCGCACGATGATCTATATTAAAAACATATAAACGTCAAAAGCGAGAAGGGATTCCCGAGTTTCCCGAATTCCTATTTTTCATCTCGATTTTTTCACTCTTATAAATTCCGGAAAATTTCGATAGATTTAATTGATATGGGAATTGAGCTTTTATGTTGTACCTCAAATAGACAGTAAACGAACAATTTCTCGCTTGCAAGTTTAAAAGAGGAGCTTTTGGCGAAACTAGGGATTGAATAATTTTAAAAGAAAGTGATATCTTACTGATTACAGTAAAACAGGAGTTTAATTCCTATGTAAATAAATCTATCGATATTTTTCAGAATCTATAAAATTAAGCTAAAAATAATAGAGCAAAAAAACTCCGAAATGGCGTTGATAACGAACGCTATTATCGAAATGAACACTATTTAATGTACATGCTTTGAATGCATTTTTGGGTGACTTTTTCGTTAATTTGTTGGCACGTCTCCGAGATGTATATAATATATACAGTCACGCGTAATATTTAATTCACACGAGATCACAAGTGTCGGCCGGTAGATCGAGACGATCGAGGGAACGAAGTGAAGACGATGGTCGCGGGGTGGACGAGGGTGCTCAGGAAAGTGAGAGAGGGCGCAGGAGAACGAGGAAGAGGGGTACGCTCGACTCGCGCGCGTATCTCAAGATCTATCTGAATAATAACGTGTACGACAACATGTCAAATTATACAGAACCGCGATGCACGCAGACCTGTAGAACTCACACATACATAGGGATATATGCGTGCGTGCGTGCGTGCGAACGAACGAGCGTGCGTGTCGGCATCGGTGGACAAGAGGGAGATCCGAGGGGGAGGAAGAGGGTGGTACGAGGGCGACATGTGTTCGCGGTGGCGGTGACTCTCTTTCTCTCTCTCTCTCTCTCCCTCTACAACAGTTTTATAATTGCCCGACTGGATATCGTGGACGAGATTCGCGAAACACCATCGCGTTTCACCTGACTGGGAATCGAGTCGATCTTAACCCCGCAATCCACCCTTCCACTCTCCCTCGATTATTACCTTTCTACGTCAGGGCCGCTGCGCTTTTTTTAAATACTCTTTATTCTTCAATCGTACAAAGGTTACTCGTCGCGATTATGTATAAGAGAAAGAGAGAGCTGATTTAGAGAACAATATAAATATCATAATATGGGAAAACCTTCTAGCGTTTTTGAACAAATGTTCCATAAGATCGAGCGCAAGGCGTTAATTAATGGAAGCTAGATTTCTTTGGAATAAGTCATGACAGCTTTTCTCGCGCAAAACACGTAGCGAGAATCCTTTCTTGCTGAAAGTCGCGACTTAGCCGACCCTGCACACTTTCCACCATCTCGTCACGGAGCTACCGGTGACAATTAAATCACAGCTCTCCCGCTTGATCATGACGGATCACCGTGGCCTTGCGCGCGCGCGTTGTCGCACGCTCCTGCTATTTTGCCTTGAAAATCTCGATTCGAGTTTCCTCGTCTTCGCGATCCTCATCGCTCGCCCCGCACGCGGAATCGAGCACCTTAAGCCCCGTTCGTTGCAGCGATATCGCAACTAAGGGTGACGTAATCGAGATTAAGGTGCGCCCCTTTTCCTTTCCTCTCGCTCCTTCCCTTCAACGTGTACTCGAAATGCCATGCCGTAAAATGTTCGACACGGAAAGATCATCGATGAATTATCCGAGATTGATCGAAAAATTTGGATCGTCCGAATAAGCCTTTAGCTACGCGACTGTATCGCTCGGCCATCGCTCGACCCATACACGATCGTCGTCGGTCCTGATTGCCGCCTGTCAGCGATCGTCGACGTATATACGGGCGATAATTTCGTCGCTACAATCAAGCCGCGACGCGGTAATGACAACGATGATGGATCTACGGCGCGCGCGACGCGCTGAACTTTGTTTGCTCGACTTGGGTCCACGCGACGTATATGCAAATCGTGCTTACGCTATATAAATAAGGTCTTAATTAATACTAACGAGGCTGACGCGTATGATACGTGTGTAACTATCGTCCTTTCTGTTTCACGCCTCGCGCCCCGCTTCACGCATCCTGGACGGATCTGCACACTCATCGTGGATCGCCGCAGTATGTAAGTATATATGTAAGAGCGCGATGTTTTATTGATATTGTCGCGCGATCATTTATCATACGAGGAAGTTGGGTGTCCGATCGGGAAGAGGCAACGAAATTAAACGACGAATAGGACGACGATTTTTCAAGTATAAACACACTCGTGAGAGCGATTTATCATCGAGAAATTAGAAAATTCGATGTGAAATTCCTCGCTCTTTTATCTGCGACAGCAGATCTGAACATTGGTTTACGTATTTTTTTATTAACGTGGAAAATGGCGAGATTGATTGCCGGGAAAATACCCTCTTACCAGCTTTCGCGTAAATCCTCTCGCGTCGAGAAATTTCGCGGGACGAACGCTTGTTCCCTCAATTATCGTTTATCGTCAATCGAAATTACTTTATCGATCTAAAGCGTTATATTAGCCCCTCTTGATGGCGGTTTTCGATTACTCGACAATGTCGGCTCGTCTGATGTCGATGTTGCATGCTTTCATTATGTGGAATATGAGCCGTACTAGCTCTCCTCTCAGCCCTTCGACGCCATTTATCTTTTCACCTTTATACCAGCCACCTGTATCGAGCTACATCTCTTTGTGAAAGAAAGAGAGAGAGCCGAGTCCATTCGGATCAGTTGTACAAATTTGTCGTCTTCTTTATATCGTTTCGATGTTTCAAACAAAGTAGAGAAACAAAGAGACACATTACGCTATCATTTATTTTCATTTTTCTACTACTTTATTGAATGAAATTAATGTATTAACACTGAAAAGCAGTGAATAGTCACTGAGGGTCTCAGTTATAATTATAGTACTGCAAAAATCAATGAAAGAGTAACTATTTAAATCAGTTATATTTTTAAAAATGCATTATATATCATTATATTATATATAAGATAAATTTATAGCAAAATATTTTGTTAAAAAAATATTTAAGTCTGACTAAGAATTTTATTTATGGAATTTTTTGTGTAAATTTATCTTAAGAGTAAAAAAAGTGTAACATATGTATATAATTCTGAATTTGAATATCAGTACAATATCATATACATATTTCATTTCAGATATATGTATAGGGGGAAAGGAGGGAGGAAACAGCAATCCAATAAAAAAAGAGAAAAAGCTATAAAAGCTACGTCTTGCAAATTTATACAATTATTATTGATATTCCAGCGAAATCTGCTACAAACAGTGGAGTCATAAAACAGAGACACAAAGTACGAATGTTTTCATTGATTCAGTTTAAGAGAGCATATACGGATCTAGAATTCTAGATTCTGCACCGCGGTCGATTACGGTTAATACGACGCGTCGTATCTCGTATCTCCTGGCTGCGTCCCGGACGCAGGGAGGAGAAGGCGGGGGAGGGAGTAGGTAATCGGGGAGTATATGGTGGAACGCGCGGAGGACTCTCGGCGCACGGGATCCGCTGGCGGGCACCCGTGGACTCTGCGGCCTGCGGTACTGGCCGAGTACGTCGGGCTTGGTGTTAATACGGTGGCCGGTGATGCACGACCGACGCAACGCTGCGGGTAGAGCGGCTGACCGCACGCCAGCTGCCCGATGCCTGGTCCGACCTGCCCGCAAAAATCTGTAGCTGACCCTTGTGCCGAGTGTTGCGCGCCGCCGGTCTCCTCCACCCCGAAGCGACACTCTCCGTATCACCCTCGTACGCCCTATACGTTCTCTCTCTCTCTCTCTCTCTTTCTTTTGGAATATTATACTCTTGTACGCTTGGCTATCGACTGGCGCTCGATCCGTCATTTAATGTTCTACAGGTCGTTTCTGAATTGCCGCAGGCGAGGATATTGAAGGACATTCCGCGCTCGAAATTGAAGGGAAAATCCTGTTGAAGCGTTCGTTTAAGCGTATCGTTTTTTAATTGAATTAAATTGAGTCATGATTTTTTTATATGTGCACGCGAAGCTTTCTATCTCTGAATATAATAATTATTTTTTAACTCTTGTATAGTCTTGTGAAAAAAAAAAATTTAACACACATTGAACAATTCAATTTTGTTGACAATTTGTGATACCGTTAAAATTAATTTGAAATTTTCGAATTATACACTTTTCTGTCAACAATTTTCACTTTAATCGAATCATTTTTTTATACAAAGAGAGGGAGAGAGAGAGGAAGGTATCATTAAATCAGACATAAAATTTTATCAAGTCCAATGGCTTTCGCGTACATGAAGGCACGTTCGAGTAACGGGGAGAGATGGCTGCAAC